TTTTTCATATAAAATGATAATATTAGGTATTTATTTGACTCTTAAAAACACAAAATCTGCGAGTTTATAGCATTTTCATTCATTACTCTTGTTTTCAACATTGTATTATCGAATTACTGTAAAAATTTTAAATTTTTATTATTAGAAATGAACCACTCGTGGAGGAGAAATGAATAATATATCATTTTATTCATAAATAAATTGTCAAACTACAATATTCTATTTCAATGTGAAAAATCATGGCAATTGTCATTAAACCGCGCGACAAATGTCAAACTTTTCATTTCAATAAAATAATATTTAGGAGTAAAATTTTGCCCATAACTGTCCGGGGATGAATGTGCCTACATATCAGCTGACATTTTTTGAAATATCTTTAAAAATGATTTTGTTTCTGTTAAAAGATTTTTTTTTCACTTGGACATAGAATGTAGAGGTGATCTAGAGTGTGGACTTTAGTTTGAGAATTTCGGAATCAGGGATGGGAAGCGGAAAGGATATTTTTGTTTTGGTATTATGTATGGGGTAAAAATAGGAACTATACTCGAAATTATAGAGGTTATAAGGAAATATTACTTATTGGATTTAATTTTATAAAAATAGAAAATTGATTAAGTATTTAAGAACGGTTTGTGACCTTCACACACTGGGTTTTGACGCTTTTTTTTGTTTTGACGCTTCGGGTTCGGTATAGCGTTCAGGTATTTTCTGTAAAAATTATACAAGATCTTAATTTTTAAGTGAAATCTTTAAACAATTTACTTGAATTATGAAAATATGTTGCGTTGCGGATAAATTTAGTGAGAGTTTTTCGTTTGTCAGTAGCAATGCAATTACTTTCCAGTCAACCGATTGGTATCAATTACTATATGATAGACAACTGTCTCAATATTAATGCCTTTCTTTCTCTGAAAGTAAATTACGAGAATATTCAATTTCTTCTTGAAATTTATAGATAAAGTACTTTTGTGACACTTTTTTTTTCATGATTTGCGGCTCATTTGGAGATGAAGTATAGAATCAACTCCTTTGGGGGTGCTGGTGTTCAAGAATGCCAGTCAGGTGACGTTTCCGCACACTATATAGCTGCGAGCGACATTATGATTATTCGTCGGTACAAAAACTCGGTTTATGAGATAATCCGCTTGAGCACGGATAGGATATATAGGATGAAGAAAGAGAGTGAGAGAGAGAGAAAGATCGTCAAGAGACAGAGAAAGGAAGATAGTGGAGAGACAATATCATAAGCGATTCGAAGCACGCCATCGCCCTCGGTCGTTCGTGACCCACCCCTTATGAACGAGCTATATATACCTCTACGTATCAAGAAACGCCGCTCACTTCTTTCAGGACCCTCGCATTTAATCTCACCGACGACATCTCTCCATTTTTTTTGTGCCTTTTCTTTCCTTGAATAATTGTTCTTTTAACGTAACTTGCTCGCGACATAAATGCAAAGAATGTGATTCCAAATTTTCAAAAAAAAAAAAAATCCAAGAAAGATACTTTCGAAAATGTGTGCTCGATAGAACATCATCATAAAAGATTCAATAGTGAATATTATCGTTTTCGTTTATCGAATAGAAGAAGCGAGTCTCTTTATATAAAAGCTTCTATTTTATGTAAGTGGAACTTCTTCCTACTGTATACGCTTCTTTTCCATTTGCAAATGATGTGTTTATAAAATGTGAACAGGGCTTAGAATTGTCGAACACTTTTGAATTGATTGTGCAAAATCTTTTTCGAAAAATATTTATTGTTGAAAACTATTGAACAATTTTCTTTCCTTGAAGTTATTCAAATAATATTTCTAAATGACAGGAAACATTTCAATTCTAGATTAGTTCTGTAAATATAGAATCTGAAATTTAATTGTAATTTAATTCATCTCCCCTGAAGCTAGGGAATGAATCACTTCTAGAAAATGGCTGTTAGGAAAACAATTAACAAATTGCAATAGGAGAAACCATTTCGATTCTCCAATATCGACAGTTTTCCATTTTATTAGACTTTTTTTTATCAGCTCGAGGGCATTCTCCTCTTTTTGCTGTCACGCCTTTGAGACACGCCCGTGTTCGGGGAAGTACTTTGTGATTCGATAAAGTGCTAGAGATTTTGCAAATTGGTTTGACGGGTGCGTATTCGCCCTCAGGGTGTAGTGTATATATATAAATATATATTTTGGAACAAGGGTTTCATATATTTTCGCGTCCGTGAAACGGAATGAAACGCCCTAAAAACTAGCACCCATTTTGGTTGTACAAATATATGCAAGGTGTCAAGAGAAAGCCTCAGGCTGATAAAAGACACAATATAGCGAGTCTGTTTAGATGAAAGAGGTGCTTTCCTTCATCTAAAGCAATTTTTTTCTCTACAAAAAAGCTTTAGATGATTTTTGTATATAAATATATTGTGGGAATTTTTTCGCAACGACGCGTCATTTTTCTCTTGTATAGTATTGAATTATTTTTCTTGGAGATACAACTAATACCTAAAAAAATCTATTTTCAAGTTGATTTTTGTTATTTAGCCCAGGACCAAAAGAGGCTAAAAATTATTTACCTTTCAGCCAAGGGGAAAAGTTGTTCAAAACCGGGAGTTCACATGTTTTAGAAACTAAATAAACAACTCACATGCAAGAATATTACAGTATCAAATAAGCTTGTCGTAATAACTCCCATAAAATAGTTTTCTCAAAGTTAACAAAATTTTCTGGATAACAGTCTAGTTTAAAGTCAAATAACTATTTATTGAAAGAGTGCATAATAAATTGCATTCATTATGTAAGGAATTTAATTAACTAAGCAAAATAACGTATGTACCAATAGTTCAAGAACTAAAACTAAAATGATTAAATGTTACACACAAACTCAAATATCAATAATTAACTATACATACCCTTTTCTAAAAGATAGAAAATTAAGCTTGGATTTCATTCATCAGAAAAAGTGGTGTATTAGAAAAAAGTATATCAACTGAAACACTTCAATACAAGATTTACAAGTTCGAAACTTGTATCACCCTAAAAACCTAGGTCTAGATGGACAAGATTCTACAGTTGAGGATGACAATTGAAGTTCTAAACATAAGACGATATCACTGACATAATCCAAGAAGACAAAGGAATCGAGTTTTTTGGAACCTCCAGGGAGGTGGTGCGACGAATGCAAGAAAGAATAGAAAAGATGAGGAGGAAAGATGCGGGTGGGTCTGAGTAGTGGGAAGGGGAAACGTCATAAAATTGGAAGACATGTGATTTCCCCCAGGAGGACCTCAGTGGAATGTCGCTCTTCTTTTCCTTTGCATATATATATACACACATACGCGTAACACACACAGAGTCTATTGACTTGGAAAAAAACAAACCGACTAAAGCACACGAATGTTCAATAAAAACGGCAAAAATATAAAATTTATGTGGAATTTAAAATAAACTTGGTTCGCTTTTACATTTCAAACCGCAAATGTCAAGTTAGTGAGTGAATAAAATGTGAATAATGGTGAACAATATTTAGTTCTATTTATTAACTGGTAGGCAATTTTAGATAATTGGGAATATTAACCAGATGAGGATGCCATTCTTCAAAATCATAGTATAATAGGTTTACTTTGTTGCAGATGAGGAAAGAGACATCCAGCATGCAATTGGAAGTGATTCTGAACCATTCTCAGTATTTCGGCCAGATCGACACCATCAAAAACAGTATTAATATTTAATGATGAATAAAAAAAAAAATTTTACATATAAAGTATAAGGATCGACCCTAGTCATTCCCACCATTTTTGTCAGGGTATTCCTACACAACTATTGCTAATTTTCAATTTATTATTATTTTTTTAATTTCTACTATTGACGCAACCTTTTTAGAGTAAAATTCATGAATAGTAAGGTTTCTCATTCTTTGGAATTAATTGAAAACCTACAAAATGCTGTGTACTAAGATTCTTTGGTAATTGGAGTCTTTCAGTCTAGGAATTGGATTATTAATATTTCCAGAAGGGACCAATATGTCTTAACAGAGTTTTTTAGATTAATTTATCACACAATAAAAAGTTTGAAATTTAAAGATAGTGATAGATACATCCGAATAGAAAGGATCGACCCTAGTCATCCCCACCATTTTTGTCAGGGTATTCCTATACAACTATTGCTAATTTTCAATTTATTATTATTTTTTTAATTTCTACTATTGAAGAAACCTTTTTTAAGTAAAATTCATGAATAGTAAGGTTTTTAATACTTTGGAATTAATTAAAAACATACAAAATGCTCTGTATTAAGATTTTTTAATAATCGGAGTCTTTTAGTCTAGGTCTTAAATTATTAATATTTCCAGAAAGGACCAATATGTCTTAACAGAGTTGTTTAGGTAGATTTATCATATATGAAAAGATTGAAATTTAAAGATAGTGATACATGAATTCGAATATAAAGTATAGAGATCGACCCAAGTCATCCTCATCCTTTTTGTCGGGGTATTCCTACACAACTATTCCTAATTTTGAATTTAATATTATTTTTTTAATTTCTACTATTGACGCAACCTTTTTAGAGTAAAATTCATGAATAGTAAGGTTTTTATTTCTTCGGAATTAATTAAAAACATACAAAACTCTTTGTACTAAGATTTATTGGTAATTGGAGTGTTTGAATCTAGGTCTTGAATCATTAATATTTCCAGAAGAAACAATTATATCTTAAGAGAGATTTTTACATTTTTAAACTTTATGATAAAAGTTTAATTTAAATTTATATAAGATATTTAAAAACGAAGTTCAAAGATAATGCATAAAAGTAACAAATTCGAGCTTTTGTATCTTGGAATTGCATCGCTATAAGATCCCATCATTTAGTGATTAAGTGTGAGCAAGTATTAATCCGATCTCAAAACTTTTTTTAGGTTTGAATAGTTGAGGAATTTTGCTCCATTTATTCCACACTTGATTTCTAATATTAGTCATGTACATGCTTTAAGTACGTGGTCAAAATTTTCACTTACGTAAAATGTTGAAATCTGATTTGAATAGTTGATCCTTTAATGAAAAATTTATCACCCACCTGCAACAGAGAAGATAAACGATTATTAGTCTATGACAACATTAAAGTAAATATAACAAGTGGTCGATAATTCTTAAGAAAATTTACAATGAACATATATCGAATACAATTGTAAACCCTTTATTTAGATTTAGTATTCGATGGTCGAGATTTGCAGGGGTGCATTTATTGAGTGTATGGAAATTATTTGCAAGGGAGCAGGTGACGTTTTCCGAGGAAAGCTGTGAGCGCGAGTAGTTTAAGCCCATCTTGGGCGAGTACAGCTGAACCAAATAACATATTCAATGATAATACCATGCAACGCGCGGGGTACGATACCTAACGCGATTCAGTGTTGACTTTTAAAGTGGCAAACGCGTCGATGTTGAATACAATGGTACCTGGAGGAAGTTAAAGTGCTTCGCATGTACCAAGAAGGCAAAGAACGAAATCAATATAGTAGCGCTTTAGTCGTTTACTCATTCCTCTTTTTTTTCTACTTCTCCTCCTATATACTTTCTTTTTTTCCCCGCATCGAGTCACTCTTTCTTTCCTTTCTGTGTGCTGCAATCCATTTTCTATCCGCTTTAACAAAGAACGACCGTGTGGATATTGCGCGAAAGCTGTTGTTCTACAATGGCATTCCCCGCAAAGGTTCCTGGGGCTTTGAAGAATTTATGTCACTGCAGAATTTTTCCTTTTTTTTTATTTCTGCTTATTGATCGTTATTTACCATGCTTGGGAAATTTTTATCTCAATAAAAATAACACAATAAGAATTCAACGAAGAAAAAGAAAATTTATTTTGATAAAAAAAAATGCTGCTGCCAAGTTTTATCACTAATGGTTTTGTAACAGAAGATTTTTGTTCTACTCAACCTTTACTATCTTCCTTTACCTAAGTTGCATATCTACTCTATTCGAATAAGAGTAAAAAATAAATGTGGGATTTCTTTTTACAAATTGGTGAAAAATATTGGGAAATAATGTACAAGGAAAAAGGTAGTGACGCAGGAAGAAAGAACTGATAGAGAGTGTGGAAAAAACAGGAAACTTGCACAGAATGCTGCTTTTTCAGCACTTGTTACTAAACGTTTTACTTTCTTTTTCTCATCTATGATCGCTTTATTTCCTTTCACACTTGTAAAACCGACCTGTTTCTCGCTTCTCCACCCCTTAATTCGTTTTCCATTCTTTTCCATTTGTAAAACTCGTTACCAATCGATGCTACACAGTTCTTTTTATACCAGAAAACTGAAAAGCTTTAAGCTTTCTCGCAATGGGAGGAAAAAGAACAAGGGGAATGGAGTATATATATAAAGAGAGAAATGAAAAAGAAGAAAACGCAAATGAAAATAAGAACATGCGAGGTGAGAATTAGCGGCTTACTTCATACAGAAAATAATATCCTACACCTTGTTTTGTAAGTACAACAATTCAGTTTTTGTAAATATTCAGACCAGAAATATTATTAATATATAATGATGAATAAAGATAATTCGACATATAACACCATCAAAAATGGTATTAATATTTAATGATGAATAAAGATAATTCGATATATAAAGTATAGGGATCGACCCTAGTCATCCCCACATTTTTTGTCAGGGTATTCCAACACAACGATTGCTAATTGTGAATTTAATATAATTTTTTTAATTTCTAGTATTAATGCAACCTTTTTTTGAGTAAAATTCACGAGAAGTAAGGTTTTTAATACTTTGGAATTCATTCGAAACCTACAAAATGCTCTATACTAAGATTCTTTGGTAATTGGAGTCTTTCAGTCTAGGTCTTGAATTTATTAATATTTCCAGAAGGAACCAATATGTCTCAACAGAGTTTTTTAGATTAATTTATCACATATAAAAAAATTTTTATTTAAAGAAAGTGATACATGAATCCGAATAAAAAATATAGGGATCGACCCCACGTATCTCCACCCTTTTTGTCAGGATGTTCCTATGCAACTATTGCTAATTTTGAATTTAATATTATTTTTTTAATTTCTACTATCAACGCACCCATTTCTAAGTAAAATTCATGAATAGTAAGGTTTTCATTATTTTGGAACTAATTGGAAACCTACAAAATGCTCTGTACTAAGATTCTCCAGTAATTGGTGTCTTTTAGTCTAGATCATAAATTATTAATATTTCCGAACGGACAAATATGTTTTGAGAGAAATTTTTGCATTAATTTATGACATATAAAAAGATTGAGTTTTAAAAGAAGAGATAGTTTAATACGAATAGCAAGTATAGGGATCGCCTTAAGTCATCCCCACCCTTTTTGTCGGGGTATTCCTACACAACTACTGCTAATTGTAAATTTAATATTATTTTTTTAATTTCTACTATTAATTTAAACTTATTTATGTGAAATTTTTAAAGTAACAACTTAGGAAACTCTTTGAAATTATCTACGGTCTGGTTTTGGTCAGCGCAAGAGAGAATATGGAATTGCGTTCGTGGATGGTGGAATATTGACTGGATAAGAGTTTCGAGGTAAAAGCACAGCAAGCGGAAAATCGGAATAGTTACGGATATGACCATGGCGATTTATAACCAAGAATGGTAGCAAGAGACCGCCATATATGACATTACGGTCGCCGCCTTTTCCATCCTACGCAACCCCCATATCGCGACCTTTAGTGATTTAATAACGCTCCACTGTCACCCCAACTTCCTTTCTTGTCCTTTCCTTCCTCCCATGCACCCTTTTCAGCTCGTCCATCTCTATACATTTGGTAGACGTTATTATGGCGAGGCTCAACCACGAAAAATTCGCGAAGAACCAACCAAGTCTAAAGCGGGATCACATGTACGCGACAAGAGTTCCTAAAGAGTACCCGGGATCGGTAATTTAGACGTGAGAGGAAGTTTTATGAATGTAAAGGGTGACGACATCATTTTCCAAGTGTAGTATGGGCAACATTTTTCCAGTGGACAATCTGAACGAGTCTTTGAATCATCAATTTCTCGTATCAGATTTTAAAAGTAAAATTAATTAAATATAGTTGCGACTTTCTTTAATTTTCTACCCTTATGTGGGTAATAGAAGAATACGAAGTTATTCTCAAAAACATATATATCTTGTCTAAAACTATTGACAACTATAGAGCCAAATTAAAACATTGAAAGTTAAAGCAATATCATTGTAAGAGGATTTTTAAGTTTCGTAGATAATATAAAAGAGTTTTCAAAGTTGTTATTTTAAAATTTCACTTAAATAAGTTTAAGTTAATACTAGAAATTAAAAAAATAATTTTTAATTCACAATTAGCAATAGTTGTGTAGGAATGCCCTGACAAAAAGAATAGGGATGCCTAGGGTCGATCCCTATTCTTTCTATTCTGATGTGTCTATCACTTTTTATAAATACCAATCTTTTTCCATGTGATAAATTAATCTAAAAAACTCTGTTAAGACATATTGGTCCCTTCTGAAAATATTAATAATTCAAGACCCAGGCGAAAAGACTCCAATTACCAAAAAATTTTAGTACAGAGCATTTTGTAGGTTTCCAATTAATTCCAAAGTATTCAAAATCTTGCTATTCATGAATTATACTCAAAAAAGGTTGCGTCAATTGTAGAAATTAAAAAAATAATATTAAATTTAAAATTAGCAATAGTTGTGTAGGAACACCCTGACAAAAAGTTGTGGATACCGGGGGTCGATCCCTATACCCGATCAAGAAGGTTTTCGAGATTTTTATTAAACCTAAAGACATATCGACAATAGTTTTAACGAATTTATCTCAGAAAGCTTGTAATCCATAGTACAGTTTATAGGTAATATATTAACTGTACTAATATTATTTGTCTAAGTATGTTCTAACAACAGAAATTGGGATGACGAGGGTTAATCGTTGGATGTACAATTAGAAATTATTATCTGTCATTATCTGTAATGGTCCATACTAGTTCATTCGTTATATGTACCACTGTTGTGAATGTCGCAAAAGATCTTTAAATGTGCACAAACGTGAAATAATGAAATTAGAAAATTTGACACTAATTAAAAACGGTATTTATATATTAATGATGAATAATATAATTCCTTAAAAATTGTTTTTTTATTCTCCCAAAACAAGAAAGATTTAAAGTGAGATGATCATTTTTCGACAGAAGAAAGCAGCAAACTTTAAAATTATTTCCTCCCTGTTTATATAACGGAATCCATTTTTCCCGGTTCTACAGATAAAAGGTGAGAATTCCATTTCCACTTTCAACGCGAAATAAAAGCTTCTTTCGTTATGTTCTTCTTTTTCAAGAAAAGTATAATCAGTTGTATTGTCTGGCCTTGGAAAATCTCTTGATTAGGGAGTGTTAAAGCTATTGCTATATCGCTGATTGTTTGAAGTCTGAGAAAATAACTTTTACAAAAGAACATCTCCCTTAAGCCAGAGAGGAGTGCCTCTATTATCCTTCTGGCTTTCGAAGGGTAAGATTCTTTTCTGATACTTTAGCATCGCTGATTATCTAGAACCTTGAAATTTTAAGGACATCGATAAGAACTATGCTACTTATTATTTTTTTTAATACAACATTTTAATTTATAATTTTTTCATTAGATTTCTTTTTTTAAATACAATGTTGGTTATCAATTTTTATTATGATTTTGATATATGAGATAGAATGAAAATGAAACAAAAACAAGTAGTTAATAATGTAGATCAAATTTTAAACATTTTCTATAGAGATTTTGTGTTGGTAATTGTAGACAAAGCGGATGTTTTTGTTAAATATTTCTTTTGTTAGGATTACTAATTGGAGTGTTTCTACCATGAATCATATATAATAAACCGTGTTATGTTGTTCCATATATGTAAATTCAATTCTAAAGGTTTCAACATTGAAACAATATAATACAATAACTCTTTTTTTTCTGATATTATTATCCTGTCTCAATCATGATTCCCAAAAAAATTATGTTATACAAATATTAAGTATATGGAGTGTATAACTCCTTTTTCATTTTAAGCCAAGTATTAAAGCCATTAGGCCATAAGAAAGAA